GCATTTAGAGATTCAACCTTTGAGTTTTTTTTGTCATGTTGTCGTGGAGTTGGAAGTAAAAAAGCTAACAACTTATTCATGACAATATCCAAATGGGAAAGTTCCCTAAATAGGACTAAAACATTTTGAAAATTCCAAAATAGGACTGTCATGTTTTTTATTCCCAAAATATGAGTAATTACTGTTAAGTTTGAAAAATACTGTCATGTTTGCCGTCTGGTACTGCCAAAACATAGCAGTAATTAGCCCTATTTTGAGAATAAAAACATGACAGTCCTATTTTGGAATTTTCAAACTTTTTTAGTCCTATTTCGAGTAATATTCTCTATCCAAATTTATGTTGTCAACATTATCATTTATAAACCATTTTTAAGCATCCACATTTTATTATCACAAAAAATAAGTACAAATAAAGGGGATATATACCAAGCTTAGATTGATATAACTATACAATAAGGCATCCACAATCATAAAATGTGCACACTAGACAAAGCTAACTGAGTGGGTTTAATTGGCTTTTTACCACATTCTCAATTGTGTGGGCATAAAAGAGATTAAAGCATAGCCTTAAGTTTGGCATTAATTGGCATCCACATTCTTAAAATGTGCACATTTAGACTAAGCTTAAAGATGACAAACCAAGCAGAACAAATTAATTACATTCATAATTAATTAAAAACACACCACTGTTTTGTCTAAAAAAACGGAGTATAAAGTATATACTAGGTAGGAGTGTTTCACAAATAATGCTTACTTTTTAAGTTTCACACAACTTAAAAAGTTCAAATTGTGCTTACTTTTTCAGCAAATAACTATGTGTCTATCTCATACGGAGTATATCAATAACTATATGATAGTGTATCTTTATATAATATAAAGTAACGGTGTTGGGACAATAACTGGAGGGAAATATCCCGCCCAAAATAAGGGTAAAATAGGGAACTAAAAAGAAAAACAAATTTGGTAGTTAATTGTATTAAGTGAACGATTACTAGGATAATGTAGGAAAGAAATGTAATATGTATTAACCAAGCATTAATAATGACAAAATACTTGATGGTGTATGTATGGATAGCAATTTGGCAAATTTGGGTAATTTATACGTATCATGGTAATTTGCCTCAAGGATCATAAATATACCATCTTTAAGAGAATAAAACCTCATTTGTATACTGTAAATGCCACGGTGAACAAATTGGAGTAGGATAAAAAAAAGTTCAATTGTGAACAAATTGGAGTAGGACAAAAAAAGTTCAATTCATAGTACAATTATGAAATAATTATTTATGCATGATTAAATTAAAGATCATTTACAAAAATGTGATTAATGACTAAAATAGTGATGTAATCATAGTAACTTATGTTGGATTTTTAAACTTAAGTTACCATGACACTACATTGTAGTAACTATTAGTCATATTCATGTAAATAGTTTTATTTTAGTAATATTTTTGAAAAAAATCTACAATTATTAGTTTGACTCATGAAACCTTTTTTGATGTACTTTCTATAATGATACTATCTCCGTATTTTAAAGTTTGCTACTCTCTTCATCCCGAATTGAGGTGCAAACTTTGACTGACACGGGAATTAAGAAAGGTTATAAATTAATTTTGAGGTTCCTATTTTGCCCTAGCCTCATAAAATAGAGAAGAAACTGAAAAGGTGAAAAGGTACAATTCAAAAGCACTTTAACCATACCCAAGCTATAGGAAGCATTACATATGCTGAAAGAAGGTACAAAAGCTACGATCTAAAAGTAAATGGGGTGGGACTAGAAAACGTGTAAGGTAAAAGTAAGGGCAGACCAGTCATTTTGTTCATCCTTCCATATCTTAAATAGAAAGTGGAAAATCATTTTGGGACAACCAAAAAAGGAAATTTTGCAAAACAAATTGGGACGAAGGAAGTATAATAAAGTAACAGTGTTGGGACAACAATTGGAGCCAAAAATTCCTCTCAAAATAAGGATAAAATAGGGAATTAATAAGAAAAAATTGTAATTAATTGTATTAAGTGAACGTTACTATAGTAGGAAAGAAATATAATATGTATTGACCAAGCATTACTAATGACGAAATATTTGATAGTGTATATATGGATAGCATTTGGCAAATTTGGGTAATTTATTTATACGTATGATGGTAATTTGCCTCAAGGATCATAAATTTACCATTTTTAAAAGAAACCTCATTTGTATCCTGTAAATACCACCGTGAACAAATTGGAGTATGACAAAAAAAGTTTAATTTTGAACAAATTGGAGTAGGACGACAAAAGTTCAATTGATAGTACAATTATGAAATAATTACTTATTTATGATTAAATTAAATATCGTTTACAAAATGTGACTAATGACTAAAGTAGTAATGAAATCATAGTAACTTATATTCAATTTTTAAACTTAAGTTACCATGACATTACATTGTAGTAACTATTAGTCATATTTATGTAAATAATTTTATTTTAGTAATATTTTTGAAAAAAATCTAAAATTATTAGTGTGTATCATGAAACTTTTTTGATGTACTTTCTTTAATGATACTCTCTCCGTATTATAAAGTTTGATACAATTTTCTTTTAAGGATTTATTTAAAAGGTTGCTACACCTTCCTTTTTAGAAAGTTTTCCCTTAAAAAAATACTCAATTTTCCTTAATTTTTATACGTAGTACATAATACTTTTTATCTACTCTTTCATATGTCAACATCTTATCTTTTACTTTTTGTATACTATTCATTACCCCTACTACTTTCCTCCTTTTCTCCTTCTTAAATAATGTGTCAAAGTCATATGTAACAATCTTTAAAATACGGATGAGAATTCATTGCCGCCAATAGCTAATCACTGCATCTGCTAGCGAATTCGGTCATGGATTTGTACACCCTATATTAGCGTTTAAAAGAACAAATACTATACATGAGAGAAAATACAACAACAACAACAAAAATTTCATGACGTCCATTAATAATTGTAATATCAAGTTATTTCATTGTTACATAGAGTTATTGATTGTACCTAATCGTTTATTTTAATTTTACTTGAATTTTTTACTATCAAATTTTTCTTTTTTCATACAACAACCACTACGTATATAATTAAGGAAAAATTGAAACTAATAATCTCAACTATTGTCGGTCCGCCGTTAATAATCCCAACTATCGATTATTTCTGCGTGGTCCCAACTATAAGGACCATTTTTCAAAACTAGTGTCTAACACAAACAGATATAAAAGAAAATAATATAAAATCATAAATTGATAACACGATTGGGAAAAACAAATTGGAAAAAAGAAAAAATAAAATTTTAGCGAAAATAAATCAAAAAATGACTAAAATATTTTATTTAACTTTGGTACATTTGTTTAACCTTCGTAGTTGTTTATACGTGTTTAAAAATATTTAGTTTGGAAGTTTATAAAAATATTTCTCTATTTTCTAAAAATTGAGAGTTAATAGTTGGGATTAATTAAAAAGGTCGACTATAATTGAGATTATTTAAAGCATACACATAGTTCGAATTTAAAATTGACCTGCTATATCAGGTTGTAACCGGTTAGGGACTGTTTTTGGAAAAATATCTCCTATAGTTAGGACCACCCAGGAATAATCGATAGTTGAGATCATTAACAGCGGACCGGTAATTGTTGGGATTATTATTTTCAATTTTTCTAATTAATAAAAGTAATAACACATACACTTTATCATCCTTTTTATTTGATAAAGTTACACATTATGTACTATCACAAAACATAATTTTAATTAAGTCATTTTTCAATTCTAGATATGTCCCGTGCACGGGTACTTCGTCTAGTGATATATATGTATCATACATTTTGAGTTTCAGTCCACCGTGTTTCATTTGTTTACTCAGGTTTAATTTCTACTTTCCTTATCCAAAATATAGATATAGATATGTCACGTGTCCATAGCCCACAGGAAAAGTTGCCTTGTTCGTTATCATATATTTAGCAAAAAACAATTACTTATAACAACAAGGTCGTTGTAGTATAGTGGTAAGTATTCCCGCCTGTCACGCGGGTGACCCGGGTTCGATCCCCGGCAACGGCGTTTTTTACATTTTTCCATGTTTTGGCATACTTGCTTTATCCATCTTATGCCAAACGAAGATAAGTATTACAATCGCGGGGATAGCTCAGTTGGGAGAGCGTCAGACTGAAGATCTGAAGGTCGCGTGTTCGATCCACGCTCACCGCAATTGTTTTGAGCATTGTTCGATCCACGCTCACCGCAATTGTTTTGAGCATTGTTTAGCGAATTTCTAGGTTCCGTTTAAGCTTTTTTGTGGCCAATATTATTTATTAAAATTAGTTTTTTATTATTTATTTATGAAGATGATTATAATCCTCATTCAGTCATTGCAGAATCGTCATAGACAAAATGATTTTATGAAATTGACAAGCCTTGATAAACATCCATTTTTTGAAATTAAGCTCAAAAGTTGGTTCCCCCATCATGAATGAGCTTAATATTAACTGGGAAAACTATCAAATAAGCCTTGTACTATGCCGACAAGTCAACTAGGCCCTCGTACATGAAAACATTCAATTAAGTCCTCAAACTATTAAAAAAAGTTCAATTAAACCCTTTCGATCGGTAAGTAACTGGTTTCCCGATTAAACGGCTACAACGGCGACAATGTGCTCGAACCCCAGCAACGGCGTCTGCCGGGAAACGAGTTACATTTAACCGGGAAACCGGTTACTTACCGATCGAAAGGGCTTAATTGAACGTTTTTTTTAATAGTTCAAGGACTTAATTGAGTGTTTGTAAAGTACGGGGGCCTAATCGACTTTTTGGTATAGTACGAGGGCTTATTTAATAGTTCAGAAAGAGTATTTGCAGCTTATTGTTAATCATTCTAAGGCTATGTTTGGCATACAAAAGGTGGTAGCTTATGATTTATCTATTATTTAAAAAGTCACTAAAAGATTCGAGTTTTGTGTTTGGCCCGTTAATTTTTTTTGAGAAGCTCGAGTCTTTCACGACACACTATGCAAGGAAGCGTCGAAACAAAAAAACCTTTTCATTATTTACTACATTCCTTGTATAACCCTGCCGCTGCGCTTCCTGTCTTTCATCTTCTCCAACTTTCCTATCAACCCCCAAGTAACCTGCAGGTGAGTTCGTCTTCTTCCCCTAATTATCTTTCTTAAACCTTTTAATTCATCTCAATTGTTAACCGATGTGTTTGTTGATTATTTTTGTTTTGTTTAATAATTTGTTTTCCAAACTTGTGTGATGTTCAAGCTTGATAGATGTTACAAGTTTACATCAATTTGGTGAATAATGTACTTGAATTTTGTGTTGATTTTATCTTAATTTTTTAATCTCTGTTTTTACAAATTGAAATATATTTCTTTGATTTTATTCTTGATATTAAATATTATCAACATAAACGTTGGCAGCTTTTTGGGTTGTGTATTTGTTTCATGTTCATGTTCGTTTCGTTCATTGTAATGCTAAATATTTAGGCTAATAGTTGTTGTTTTCCCTGAGTTTTTCATGCTTCTTTGGTTCAATACAATGGCCGTTTCTTGTTTTATTTCATACTGCTTTGACTTTTATTTTGCTTTATTACTAGGTTTTTGGGTTTATTTCCTTGGGTTTTTCATAGTTTTTTGTGTATTCATGTTATGTTTTTTCTTCACTTTTTGTTGTAATTTTTTAGTGTAATGTTCTGCTCGGTTTTCTTTGTTGTTATTTCTCAACATTTTGCACTTTATAATTTTACCGCCCTTTTTCTTTTGTGTGTGTACTGTTTTTTTTGTTTTTATATGTTTTAGCACAGTTTAGCTGTTATTTTTTGTTGCCCAATGCACATCAGCAACTCAATGGGTGTAATATTGGTTATTCAGGACTCCAAATGAGTACTAAAATCTTGAATAGGACTGTTGCCACAAAAAATCTTCTTCGTTTGAGTGGATTATCAGGAAAAAATGAATATGGAGTACTTGTTAATTAATGTCCTTAATTGTAATTTTATAATTTCAGCTTTTCATAACAGCTAATTTCGCCAAACATGACTATTTAAAAAAAAATAGCTTTCATGAAGCAGCTAACAGTTACAAAGTAGCTTTCATGAAGCAGCTAACAGTTTTAAACATGACTATTTAAAAAAAAAAGTAGCTTTCATAAAAAAAAAGTAGTCTTTTCCACCTGCAAGCTTTTCAGCTCAAAAAAGCTAACAGTTACAAAAAAGTCTATAAAAAGATCTTTCAGCTTGTCGTGCCAAACATAGCCTAAATAAAGTTCGCCCTTATCAGAGTTGTCGTATAACTCGTATTCCATTGATCGGTTTATTAGTCTATAATTGAAAGTACGTAATTTTATCAACTTTATCAAAACAAAACAATATCAATCTTGTAAATTTACGTTTTTTAATATACTTGTACGAGCAAGTTATTAGCGTCATTGAATTGGGCGTTTTCCATTTAGTCTACGCAACTAGCATTAAGTCAAAAGAGGAATGTTGGTCTAAAACTTACAAGTTTTAAGTCCCTTTCATTTGAAGTGCTTCCGGGTAAAATATTTATGAAATTTTGTGAGCATGTTCTACATGAAGTGTATGTAATGTACACCAAATTTTAACTTAAAATTCTATCGGGAAGTCATCTTACTTTTAAAACTGCATATATTAAAAACTGCCCATTTTTAAAAAATTATTTAAGTCTTCCCGATTAAATTTTATTCTGAAATTTGGTAGATATAATATGCACTTCATGAGAACATTCTCACAAAAAGCCATCAAAAAATTCATCTTGTAAGCCTCTCAATTGAAAGAGGCTTAAAATTTTAACTTTTAGGCCTACCTTACATGAATATTTTCCTTAAGTCAAATATAATTACATTTCACTTTAGTCCTAACTCGGTTTTTGTATATGTGTAGATGTAATGTTCAAATGTACATTAGAATCGGTTTGGTGACATTGAAATTTGTTAAATATGTTGAAATTGATGACAATTGGTTGACGTGACTTCCACATAGAATAATAAGGCAAAAACTGTAATTTAATCGAGATTTATGCAAATGAAAGAGATTAACTTTAGCCACATAATTGTTACCTTGAATGGAAATGACAAAATTTTTTAGACGGTCAAAAAATGGATATAGGTAAAACTATCACATTCAACAATTTCACTCAATTCGGTCGGAACAGTACTTCTAACCTTATTTATTTTGATTATCGCACAATTTTGAACGTGAAATTAAAAGTTGCCCAGTTGATTAAAAATTAATAAGCCGCATATATGGGTTAACAAAGAGGCTCACAATGTGTTAAAACTAAATTAAGTAATAGGACGTAGGCAGAGAAAATTGAAATTACATGGTGTTTTTTTTATTTATTATGACATGGAGTGTTACTCTGTGTATAGTACATGTTTCCACTCCAGATTACATATAAGAAGTGAACACATATATAGTTATAAATTCCAGACGAGACTTACATAGATCATACTAGACCAGATCAGACTTCTATAGTTATAAATACACAGAGACTAAACATTTATCAGACCAGACTTAAACAGATCAGACAAGAAAATTTCAGTCCAAGTAAAAACATCCTTACTGCACGGCATTATATATTTATATATGTACGGTAACAATTGATAATAGATCATATGAGCATTTATTAACATATATTGATATATTCCTTTAAAAGACATACTTGTATATCTTATCTTATTATACACACACTTATAATCACCAATGAAGGTAAGGGTATTTTAGATACTAAAAATGTGTTGGTGTAACATGTAACTATCAGCTCTTGTACACTGTGCTTTAAATTTTGTGTTCTTAGTTAATACCCTAATGTTACCGTCTTACTAAGAGCCCGTTTGGTAGCACCAAAATCGGCTGTTTTGGTTGATTCTGCTGAAATTTATGATATTTTGGCTGGAGTGGCTGTTTTGGCTGATTCTGCTGATTTAAGAAAAAAATATTTTAAAAATATATTTTATTAATAAATTAAAGAAAAAATTATATGTAAAAATAGCTAAAATGGTCCTCTACAGTAACTTCAGCCAATACAGCCAGAAAAGTAACTCCAACCTTACTTTTTCGGCTTATTACACAATTCAGCGCGCGAAAGTAAAAGTTACGTGTTTGGTGAAAAAGCTGGCTGATAAGCCTGATAAGCCGAAAACAGAGTTCTCCAAACGGGCTCTAAGTCGTCGGCTCATCTCCCTTCATCTGCCTTGCGTCGGTGCGTCCTCAATGAAAAAGTCTCCACTATGCTCTAGAAAGTCGTTCTTATCTAAGCCTAAGGGGTCAAAAGCGGCGTAGGAGTCACCTTCAATTCTCGAGTAGGAGTCACCTACCGCCGACACCAAGTACAATAGTCCACTTCGCTGCTGCGTTTTGCCCAACGTAACTTCATAAGAAATTAAATGTTCAGCCGCTTTGACCGGCCTCTGAATCCATTTGTTGCATATAGTGATATAGGTAAATAAGAACTTGTTGTAATCCTTGAAATGTGATATATCAAGTATGTTGTTCATTCACTACCCAGTTCAAAAGGTTGAAAGAATTTGATCATATGGGTTTCACATTCATTTTGTTACATAATCAGATAATCTCATAAGTCGTTGTCATCAGGGGCGGATCCCTTTTGTGCAAAGGTGTTCATGTGAACACCCAAAAAACTAAAAATAAAATGTTAAAATATACAGATGCAATTGATGTAATAATTTATATAGTGTATTTTTAGATAATATCTCTTGCATTTAATCTTATTTTCCATTTTTTTGTTGCTGAAAAAGTAATATATATACGTATTCATTTGTTGGATCAAATAATATTATTTGTTCAACATTTTGACGATAAATTAATTTTGAACACTCAACTTTTGATCACAAGATCCGCCACTGGTTATCATCAATAGTATAAATAAAATGAAAATAAAACAAGAACTAATAAACTTCAAACATAAAAAATAAAATTAAAATAGTGAATAGTAGTGAATAATCTATCTGCTTGACCAACTCATTTTCCAGAGTATTGTTTTATAGTGAACCACATATATGTAATTAAGTAACTATGTACTATTGGCTTAACCATTTAAGCCATTGTGCCCATGTTGTTGCTCTTAGTTAATTGTTTTATAACAAGTCTCATATCAGTTTTGGAAATAGTTCAACATTTTTGGATGAAAACATATACACATTGTGTATTGGTTAAACGTAGGCTGGCGTACATTTACCGTGGACAATACAGCCGGCGTACCGTGGACTAAACATAGGCCGGCGTACCGTAAACAGAATAGAAGAATACGGGAAAGCATTTCTTGCATTTTAAAAAAATTGTTGACCGAACAACATATTTTGATTCCGCTCGCAATAGTTAAGGTGCTTGTGATTTATGCCATTTATATTTATATTTGATGCTTCCCCATTTTTTGCTTTTTTGAAACTCTGTGTCGTCGTTATGCAACTGTCAAGTGTTACTAAGTACTTACTTCGTTTTATATGGAGATATTGATCTTAAGCTAAAGGCCAACCCCTCCTAAGCCTTTCAAAAGCCTAACTATTAAGTGTTGCTTTTTAAAAAATCAGCCCTCACTGAGAGATAACAAAACTCATTGTGACAAACTCACACACACCTAGAGTGTTTAAGGTTTTAGAACATATCTCTTGTAAGGATGCCTTCGTTCACCGAGATCCATATTTAGAGGTCGACTTAATGGGATACTTAGCTTGAAGTTCAAAGTTCCTATAAAACATGCATTGTATTGATAAAGATTAAAAGATTCAAAGTTCCCAGAAAACATTAGTATTTATATATGTATTAGACATTTCTCGCTTTTACGATACTTTTTATTGTGAAATTAGGAAAACATGGTCTAGCCCTTATGTGAGTGTGCGTTTTTTATTTTATTCGGCCATCTTTTATGAATCATGATGAAGGAATGTTAATACTCCATTTCTAAGTTACGTTGATATCAATGTTAACATGTCATATGCTAAAAGTAATCTTATCAATTCAACATAAAATATACATATTTTCCAACAAAATCACACTGGGCACCTATTTTATCGCGCAACGCACGAGTAGAAAACTAGTTCATATATACCGAGTATAAACTTTTGCACAAATTGAAGAGTAACCACGTACAAC